AAATATTGACAATAAATGTTGATGAATATTCCAATTTTTGATGATTGATCTGTGAGGGATTCAGTGGAGTTGGTGGTTTTCATGAGAGAAATGGCACGTACACGTTTTGTTTGGAGAGAGTCTCGTTGATCTACCAGTTTTGTATAGTGTCCCACGTAACTAATACATAGCCAATATTGAATAAGTGATAAGTCATACGAATCATGCAGATAGATACATCAGGGATAAAGCAGTGGTAGGCAATGTGATATCATATAAGAGGAGAAAAGAGATAAACGATGGGAAAAGGAACATACGAAAGATAACGATCCCATAGTTAGGCAATGTGATGTGATGAAAAAAAAGAGAGAGAGAGAGAAAAAAGTGATGGGAAAGGAGGAGATTGTCTCTGATTATTCGTTAGCCACATTTATTGTCAGAGATAAAAAGAAAGACAGAGAACATGCAATGGCGGGAAATATTGGTTGGTAATAATTGTGAATGACTTTTTGTATAACACGAAATAAAGAATGCCTTATAAGAGGGAGTTAAATTTGAACACTGACGAATAATGGTCGTGGAGAGTAGTTTCTTTAGCTTAACTATCAGTTATACAAATTGTCTATTCATATGAATAGTTTTATATCAGTATCAAGGATTGTGAAAGTGATAGGATTGATATGATAAGTTATAGAATAGTCGATGATTCTACCTGGCATAGATGAGTTTCTAAGAAAAAGATGTATTTCAATTTAGTGTGACATGGTTGCATGCTTTCTGTTTTCTAGCTGTTTTCTATGTTTTCTAGCTCGGTTCTGCATAGTTTTTTAGGTCATTGCTTTTTTTTAACGATCATATTATAGAATATTAATGTTTTTTCATTCATTTATTGTGAGTTTTTTTTTGTGTTTAGTTTTTGATATTTTCTTTTTCAGCATATACACCGAGTACAAAATGTGTGGCTCTAGCGAGAATAGGATGGCATAATCAGAAGGTTTCTTTTTTTGCCTCTTTTTTTTATTGTCAAAGGTTGTAAAAAAAAGTGATATTTTTAGTTAAAGTGGTACAAACTTATTTACTTCATCTTAGCTTTGACGACAAATTTATTATTACGTCATAAGATTATATGTATAGTTTCGTTGTATCTGCAGTGCATCACTATCATGGCATGTAGTATAGCTGACATTTAATGATGACTGAATGTTTCTTTTAAATTGGATGAAAGAAATCAAGTCTTTATTCAGGCTAAAGCACTTGCCTTTTGGGTTACACAGAGAGATTAATTAATTCCAGATTGTTTTCTGCTCTTTGGAGGCATTATGCGATGTAGAAATGGGACCACCTTTGCATTCATTGATAATTCCCGGTGAATTGCATCCCATAGAATTGGAGTTTTTGAAAACTTTTCCCACATCATAATATTTTTTAATTCGTACGATAATTTTTTAAACTTTATCATATCCTGTTTCATCTCTTTGCACCTTATTGATTATCATGGAATTGTTGGATTATTAAGTAAGAACTAAGACTAGAACCAATTATGTTCAAAGTACTCGTTTAAAGTTGTTTAGAGAAACTTTGATCACATCTTGTTTTAGGATTTTTAGATCTTGACTACATCGTTAAATTTTTATAAGAAAATCGGATAAAAAAAATCGGATACAGATGAGAAAATCCGAGCTTAGAATCATATATCCATCACATCATTTTGTTTTCTTGTTTAATATGCTACGGTTTAGTTAATCAATTATTTTGATTGATTTTTGAAATTTAATGCTTTGAATTTATAATGATCTGTTTATCCATTTACGGATTCCGTTTATCAGTTATTGTCAAATTGTTGTTCATTTCAATAAATAATTCCAGTTGTGCATTTTCTGTTAGATTCGAACTCTTTGCCGCACTTTTTAAAAGAGTATCTTTTACTCGAATTATTTTCATCTGAAAAATGCCGGTTATCATATTTATTAACAAACTTAACTTACAGGTTTTGCAATCAGGATGATCATATTTCTGTTAGCAGATGAAGCTGTTGCAGGGAAATCCGTAAATATCAGCGCATGTGGAAGAACTAGGTTGATTGAAGTCCGTGTGCTGTTTTGATGATTATCTCGAATTTATTATTGCTCTTTTTGTGAATTGTGCCAAAAGGTATTCTCTACGTACGGTCCAAATAGCCCTGCTTATTTCTCAAACTAATTTAACTTAATACACTCTTTTTCAGGAATCTATCAATGTATTATCCGTTAGCTGTACATTTAGATTACGATCCGCCGAGTTCGAGTGCAACAACACCAGTGGCAGCTGTTTCAAATTGTGTTTTATCTCATAATGGTACAATTTTCGTACTTTAAAATTTCATATTTGTGTTTTTAATTTCTAGTACCTTATGATATCTAAACTAAATTCTTTTAGATCGAAATATGAATGCATAAAATGTCGATCACCGACCAAAAAAAAAGTATTAGTTTTATTTCTTTGCATTATTATAACCGGATTTCAGGTTTTTTGGACCGACCCGATCTAATACAGACAGTTTGTCAGCTTTATGAAGTGGTGGAGGGCGAGTGTGTTCATTTACGGAAAACGGCCCTTATCCAACATGGTTCACCACTTCATCCATATAGCATTTGTAATCCAAATTACGTTGGTCATGAGTTGTGTTTGCCGTTAGCTGTGGATTATCTTTCATCTGATCTCACACCCCCGACAATGGCACATCACTTTTACTATCTTCATATACGAGATGCGAAAATTCCCACTTCTTTGAAAAATGATATTTACCGTCAGTTATATCACACGGTACCTTCTAATCTTTTCGCGAAATATACTGAGTTACGAAGTCGTTTTGACCTAGTGCCATTGAAAGAATGTCGGCCATTGATGTTAACTATTCTCGACTTCTGGATTCAACGTTGTAAACGACTGAAAATGTGTCTAGATGCTACAGAATTCTTTCCAATTCGATTACAGTGGACTGATTCAGTGTTCGAAGGTACTCGGCTTCAGCGTGATCAGCTGTCGCAAAACTGGAAAGTTGGACGTGAGGTTGATGAATATGGTTGGGCCATTGAAACAGTGCGTGCTGAACGTGTAACTGCATTCGTCGAAAATTGTCCATTGATCTTCATGGGCGATAATACGTCTACACGCCTGGCACGTTATATTGAATGGGGTAAACGATTGAGTGACACTGATGGACGATTTCTACAGCGGTTCAGAAGTGATAATTGGAAATTAGAATCTGAACGGATGTCTACTCTATTTCTCCTTTTACAGAAGATTCATTTTGGTAATGGATGTGTTGCAATAATATTATCATCTGGAGCACATGAACTAGCTGAAGGTATAGCACCATCGAAATATGGCAAACTTCTGAAAAATATACTTATGTATTTGTTACAGTTCCAGTTGCGTATTCTTGTGGTTCCACCAACGCCTCGTGCGGAAAATCAGTTCCTTTGGTTCCAGTATGTGCAACAACAAATGGAACTTAGCGTCAAATTATCGACTGTTGAATTTTTGATTCGATCAAGTCAGCAAGCAAGTGATCGTTGTTTTTTGGATGCCATCATTATAGGAAGTCGTACGCTGGATTCATTTATGTGTAATAATTCTGGATTTACTGATTTTGGAATTAAGAAACTTGGATTTTTCCTGATCGAAGTGATGCATATTCCGAGAATTGGTCATAACAGACAAATTTCAAAGCGCGAAGTGATAACTGCGACAACTTCAAGACGGGAAGATGCAGTCATTACTTATGATTACAAGAGAAGAAATATCGCTAGCGTGGAGCAACAGTCGGTGAGATTGGTTGAAGCACAAACTAAAGTCTGGTATCAGCCGAGTGTTGATTATGAATCTGTTGCAAGTACTGACTTACTACCAACCAGTGTTACATACTTAAATGTAAAGAGTTATTCAGATTTGGCCGATTATACGGGTTCAGCTGCTGCTGAAAATTTGTTGATGCCATTGGCTACCAGCTGTCAGAACTCGAGATATCGAAAGAGGAAGACAAAAATCGCAGAGACATCACATTCCCAAATCATAAATAATGGACATTTGCGAGGACAGGAGCAACGTGTTGTGATTAACACTTTTAAAAATTTGAAGCAATCTCCCAAGTTATTACATAGGAACTATTTTACGTTAGCACTGGAACGACGTGATCGGCGTGTACGAGCACGAGCACACGGTGCCTCGGACAACTAAATAATTAAAGAGAGCTCAGGTCTTAATATGCTTCTGTGGATTTAATTTTTGTTATCTTTTTCGTACTTCAGGAATTGGAGCGGAATTTATTTATAACTTTTAGGATTTATAAGTTAGAAAGGTTTATATTTTGGAACTGTCACTAATTTTCGATGTTAAGGTGTTCACTGCAGTCATTTCTTAAGTATGCGATATGGCTGGACGTCACATAAAGTTGTATTTAGTCTCTGGAAGAGTGTTTCTGATGCTAGGCATCGTAGGATATTTCATATAACCTTCTTTAATTGGTTGATCCACTTTTAATTTTTCAGAAAAAACCAGAGAAAAAATTATAGGGAAAAAAGTTTATATAAATTCTACAAAGTTATAGTTTTCTTTTAATCCAACATGCTTGCTTAATTTAATATATTTCTCATATACTTGCATATTTTTTTAGATGTGATAATGTATATGGGCCTATTTTATCTCGGGCTTGGCAACTGAACTATGGCAGTCATTAGCGATCTGTTCGGTTCTACTTTCCCGGTGACTTTTAAGCACTTGATTTTATTGTTAAAACGCGGATTTAAGGAGTATGTTTTGTGTTGTATATAGCTGAATAATTTAAAATACATCTTTATTTTTGCCTTTTTGTACATTGTGACTGTCCTTCTGATTACACCAGTATGCTTTATAATCTTTTTCAGTAGTGGAAAAGTGAAAGAAGTTTATTAAAAATCTATTTCATTAATCATTTAAAGGACTTTTAGGGTGCAGTTTTTTACGACTTCATATTGGATTTTTTTTTTTTAAACAAAAAGGGAATGAAAGTAGTACCACATTTCTGTTTAAAATTCAAATAATGTTTCTGGTTTAAACAGACTTATCATAAATCCCGATCTAATGAGTCGATTTAGACATTAAATAGTGATATTTGACAAATCGAGCTATTTCAAAATTTCTTTTCCACTTCGTTCTAACTTGATTATTGAACCGTATTAGATGTACAGAATTTTGATTCATATCATTAAAGAAGTTATATTTTTTTTGTTAAAGCATTTTTGCAAAATATACTGCCGAGAAATAATTTCAAATTTTGACTAGCGATACTTTGAAATTTGGAAAATTGGCATCTTTATTATATTTTCCTTTTGTATGATATATATCTAAGTTTTTTTCCTGTTTTTTTCTCCGATTCCATATCTTCAGCTCATATTTTGTCGTCCTCATATATGAAAGGTAACGAGAATGACGAAATATGAGCTATCAATATTTCTCACTTTAATTCCCTAGTTTTCACCATTTTTTTTTAACATTTAAGATATCACTTGTTTTGTTCGATTTCTGATGCAGAGAGCTTTTTTTGGTATATTCTGTATTTTTGTTTTACCGCTAGATAAATCTACGTAGTATAAGATTAAAACACTTCTCAAATGTTATAAAAAGCAAGAAAAAAAATTTTCGAATTAGGTCATAAAAGGATACATTATATGTTGTGATAGAGACAGTAAACTGTTTAACATTAAAGTAATAGGGAGTAATCTTTAGAATGATAAATTATAATAATACAGCTGGTTCTGAAGAAACTTGACATTTCATGAATTTGAAAACTTTAAATTTTGAAAGGACATGTATATATAAATCTTGAAATAAAAAACTGTCATATTGGTTGAAGTATAAATAAATTTATAATTGAAATATAAGATTGTCACAAAAAAAATTTTCATTCTTGTCACTTATATTCTTTATTTTTCTCTTGATAATTTTTTTTTGAATTTCATGAATGCTTTCGGCTTGCAAAATAACTTATTATCAGATTATGATTTGTTTTTATAGGAAATGCATACTTAATGTTGGCGAAAATTTTTCGAGAATCGCTACATTAATTTTGATTTTTGGAAACGTTGTAATTGCTTTTTTGATCGAGAAGAAATATTTGAAGTGCTGTAAATTAACGAGCTATTCCATCTTCTTAGTGTTTATAAATGTTGCATCATCTTTACCTCTCATCCTGATCTCGTATCATCCAGTTATTTAGTTTTGGTTTAATATCATACATTTTTATTGAAATCATTTGACTGCATTTTGCTAGGTCACATTTAATTAGCAAGAAAGAATCTCCATTTATAGGTAAATATTTGTGATAATAATCAGTGCATAAAACATTTTAAATTTCTGTCCAACTGCTTTTTTCAAATGTAATCTCGAAATTACTTATCTGTAACGAATAGGTTATAATGTTCGGAGAGCGAAGAAAGGGGAACTAATTAATTAAATCCGGTAATTACATGTGATTGTAATGTGGACGTCTGATTAGGGTCTAAGATTTGGTGTTAGCGATACAACTGGGATATTAGGCTTGCTGACTTGATTGCAATGTAAATAAGCCAATTTCGGCATTGACTTATTTGTAGGAATTTTGCATTAAGGTGAAATTTACAAACTTCATTACTGACAAGATCTGTAGAAATGTAATGTGATATTACATAGCTTTACACATTCCAGAGCAGTGAAAAAATTTTGACAATGACTTACAAAATTTTGTCGTTTCTTTGCGGTTTATTGTAAAATTTGGAAATACTTTTTTGAGTGACAAGGTACCAAGGAAAATGGGTTCCGTTCAAGAAGAATATTGTAACTGATGTGGCTTTTTCGTTGATTCAAAAAAATCAGTAATCAGCTATTTCGTTATTCTTAGGAGATTTCAAAATAGTCAATTCTTGATTTGATAGAAGTTTTAAATTTTACTTATTTTTCTTAGAATTGCCATACAATTAGTTATTAATATGAACTATTTGGCTTTATTCGTTATTTGCACGCGTTTCATTTAAATTATGTTTGCTTTGTTGACATGAATTTTAATCTTAATACTACATATGCCCCTTACTTGAAAGTACACTAATGGATATATATATATATATATATCCATTAGTGTACTTTCAAATAATCTATGTTTCGTAACATTTTTGTTCAAATTATTGTTTCTGTGAAAGAAGGGAAAGGGGGCTATTTAATTTTTTTTTGTTTTTCGATCCATTTATAATTTGGTGTCTTCCGGCCGAAGATCAATTTGTTCAAGAATAAATAATTATCATCTTCAAATGATAATCATTTACTTCATTTTTTGAAAGTTCCAAAAATTGTCTATTTTAATTCCAGTTACAAGCAATGGTTTTATTTTATTACCAGCATTCTCATAAATCCAAATTTTTTAGTATCTAGTTGCAATAGATCATTGGTCATTTAATGGTGATTTTCCGTGAACAATTTTCATTCGCTAGTAATATCCAACAAATTCTATGGGCATTGTAAGCTTTTTTTAGAAAATTTTTGAAATACATTGGATTGACATGCATAATTCCTAGCATCGCCAAGAATAGTTTCAGTAATAATTCCATTTATTTTCCCTGAAATCATTCATTGCTATAAATGCCAATACGGACGAGAAGCTCGAAGCCCTTGAACAAACTGATCGAGATTTCCGTAAAATTTTCCGTAAATTTAATTTTCCGGACGAAAATTTCTTGTAGGCATCATTAAGTGAATTTGATCCGTACGATTTACTGGAGAAAAAGAAGGAAGTATATCATGACTAATTTACAAAAGGCCTATCTTGGAATGCAATGTTTTTGGGGTGCTGAATCGACATTTGCAAAATTGGATGGCGTATTGGCGACACGAGTTGGTTATGCTGGTGGTACTACAGTATTACCTAATTATCGGAGTATCGGTGATCATACAGGTATGTTCTGTCTTCATTATTAAAAATTTTCTTATGCATCAATTTTTTATGCATAATCATTAACCAAAAAATTATCATATATCGAGAGGATGAATTTTTTCCGCTTATTTGTCATTGTCCATCTCATTTTTTTTTTTTTTGAGAAAAAAGATTCAGAAGGAATATTTTCTTAAATCATAATTGCAATTCATTTTATTCTAGCTTGTTCATTTCTATACCAAATATTTTTTGTGTAATTTACTAGAATTTGACATTAAAATAAAGGAGATTACCTTATCAACTTTCAGATCTATACGTAAGGATTGAAGTGCTGAAGTTTTAAAGTTTTTAACTTGAAATATCTGCACTTTACTATGTAATGAAGATCTCTAATAATGCAGAAACAACGGAAATTCAGTTTGATGAAAAGATTATAAGCTACGATAAAATTTTGGATTGTTTCTGGGAGAATCATGACCCAACCGAGGTATACAAAAAGCAGTACAAATCCGCAATTCTCTACGTAAATGATCAACAAAAAGACATAGCCCAACAGAGTGTAAAAAAAATACAGGTGATTTTAATTTTGTACAGAAATTTCTTTTAAGAGTATTATTTCATTCATGTAAATAACTGCCACACTTAAATACCTTCCTGGATTTTGATTTCACTCTGTTTTATTTTTTTTATGATTTCGAAATTGTTGATTTAGTAGAGGAATCACTCGATTATGAGTCTTGATTAGTAATAAGCGAACCATCTGTAATCTATTGACCTAAATGGTCTTGTCTTCCTTTTATCTTCTGAGTTTCGTGAATATCTCTTTAAAAAAATTGGAAAAGTAACAGTGCTTTATAATACCAGCTAAAAATTCTCGAGATGATATAAACGATTTTGAAATTTCATCTGAAAAATTTTCAACAGTTTCTTCAGGAAAAATACGGTAACAAAAAACTAGATACTTATGTTCAAAAACTAGTTCGGTTTTATCAGGCGGAAGATTATCATCAAAAATATTGGCTGCGCTGTCAAACGGCAATTTTTAAAAAGGTTGGCAAAAAAAGACGTTTTCTTCGGTGGAATTTTTTGACTTTGCAGAAATTTAGTCTTCCATTTGAACGCAGATTTCGATTTTATCATTGTTGGGGTAACTTAAGCATTTCGCAAATTTTAACGACTTAACCAAAAAACAAAATTAGATGAGGTGCTTTTATCTGTTTATGTTAACAAGGTGTTATGTTTACAGCGATCAAAAAACATTTTTTTGAACTCGCAAGTGAATTAAAATATATTTCTTTCGCAGATGGAGAAAAAATAAAGATATCGATCTAGGAACCAAATCAGGTTGTAAAAATAGAGATAGAAGTTGAGCGCTCGAAGATTTTCGAAAATTAATGTAAATCAGAAAAGAACATTTTATTTTAATTGAACAGTCAAAATCGAGCGGATCGAAACACTGATAAAATGGTTGTTGTAAGCACTAATTGAGTAAAAGTTCTAGCAGAACTGACCTACTCAACAGTTTAATCAAATTATTGTTATCTTTATTCTTATCTCTTATCGAAAATGCAACAATTTAATTCATGTCTTTTTTTGCATTAGTTTTCAGTCTATTTTTTGAACGGAAATGAGGTATCTAAAAGTTATATATATATATATAAAGATTTCCAGAAATTGCATTTTTTTTCTATTAATCATATCTCTGCTGTTCAATTCACTTGCTGATTTGGCCCAAACATTTGTTCTCTATTTTTTGATATTATAACAAAAAAATTCTATTGCAGCTGAATCTGAGTGATGAAGAAATGGTGACTTCATTGTTAGCTACAAAAGTGAATGCATTTTTGGCTGGCTATAAAAATTTCGATGTCCTCAAACAGTTGGCTGATAAATACCGATTGGACGATGACGTCATTAAATTGATTGAAAGTATCGCCATGGCAGGCGGAGTTGCAGGTGCATGCCATGCATAATATATAATAAACCCACCATGTGAGGAAAGGAATGTGAGGGAGAAAAAAAAGTCTGATCAGCACCAGATGATATCATCATCCACTCGTTTCATTCTCTTAATAAATTTAATAATCAGAGGGGAAGGATTTTTGTTATTGTATAGAAAATAAATTGCTAATCAGTAGAGTATTTCCTCACCTGTGTTTGCTAAAAAAAATTTATTACATTGAAAGGCTATCAATGAATTTCAAAATAAAACTATTCATTGTAATCAAATAAAATCGCAAATCGCAATATGTGTATATACACATAGATGCTTAAATATAGATAAATTAGATGATATTAACGAATAGACCGCATTCAATATTACCATTGTGAAATGGTGGAAGATTCTCAAAACACTGCGACAGTAATTTTCTTTTTTTTCCTTATGTATAAGTGGGAAAAATCCAATGAAAGAAATTTGTGTCTCTTTTTCAAAAAATCAAAACGAGAGAAATATAGGAGCGACAAGGGATGAATATATAATTTACAATCTCTCACTCAACAATATTTCACATTCATTTCCTTTCTTATTTGATGTATCTATCATTTAATATTACATTCACTGATCAAAGTGTTCCATATCATTTAATTAGTGTTCTAACAAATTGATGTATTGTGTATGCTACGATGATACATACCTTTTAACATGAATTAAAAATTTGCATTTTTTTCAAATTATCCTTCCATATGTGATAGTGATATGTAAATCTGTCAGTTGTCCATTGCTTATTTATCTTTTTTTGATAAATTGGCATTAATTGTTAAATTTTGTGTTGCAATACAACATATGGTTTGTAGCACGGGAAACGTTTAATGGTTGATTCACTTTGCAGTTTGTAAATTTGATTACACACGATTTGCGTGATGTGGGTCTTATCAGTGTTTGTTTGATTCGTTGAGTGGGCGGTGTTATGAAGTTGGTTGGGTAACTCGAAGAGGGATAAAGTAGGATGGTCAATTCGCTTAATAAAACCTCGGAACATAACGATGGGGAAGAAGTATAATCATGAGATGTTACAAAATTAGGGAAATAAACACTGAACTGCTGAATTTGTGGACATGATTTTTAATTCCGGGCCACTTTCGTATCTTATAGTGCCATTTTCGATTGTAATTGTCGGTTTTATTATTCTTTTAGTAATTGTTTCTGTTACTGATTATAAATTTCTGTGACTAATGACTAATTGCCAAAGAAATATTTTAAGGTTCTGATTATAAATTTCGGTGATGAACGTTAACACTTAAAGTAAGCAAACGCAGTATATGATAGATGATCATTCGGGGAGTTTAGTTCTTACTGTAAAATATAAATAACTGTCGAATAATAAAAAATCATTGACAAAATAATTGACGTTTTGTGTTTAATGATATAAAAACGAATGGCGAAAGATAAAATGCTTTTAAAAACAAGACATCAAATAAAATGATTGGTAAGGAGATTTACTGTTAAGATAATTAAAATCAGAATTCGTCATTAAAATAATTTGATTCGTACTAGTAAATCGATATTGGGCAAAATTCAGCAATTGACAAAAAAATATTTTAAGGTTCTCTTGCAAGATTCGAAAAATGTCGGAGCAACAAACCAAGCCGCAACAAGTACCTTCACTGAAGCGAGGGTTGGTAAAACAAATCTTATGTGGTGATGCTATCGTTCTGCAGGTATCCATTTCATTTCAGAATTTTACCTGTCTTTCATATTTGACATGTATGGCATCATGTTCATTTAAACTATATCGCAAAAATATACGTATTGATAGGAATATCGTAGTATTTTGCTACATAGGCTAAATATGTTTACATGTTTGGCTGTCTGCTTAGTTTTTATTAACTTTTCTAGTTCGGGAATCAGGAATGACTGTCAACTGATTTGAAATTCCCGAAATGTATCACGCAGTTTTATTTCAGTGTAAGTTTCTGAACGAAGGTACTTTTTAGGAACTTTGAAGTACCGCAAGCATATTCTGAATAATTGAAATAATTGAAATTTTCTCTATAATTGAAAAAATTTTCATTCCTCGCTTGATTATTTACTCAATAGTTTGTTTAACTGTACTACGTGGAAAAGATAACATAACTCAAGATGAACATATGAAGAAGAGAAAATTCGGATTAAAGTGATCAAAAAAGAACGAGTTATATCACTTTATTCACGCTAGAAACTTTATTCACGCTAAAATTTCAGGGTCCACCTATGAATGGACCTCCGAAGGAGGTAACGGTATATTTGAGTAATGTGATTGCACCACGGCTGGCTAAGAGACCAACAGATACTGAATCCGGCAAGGAAGATGAGGTAAATGTGAAGTTTTAGACTTTTTTAAAATATCAGAGAAACATAAAATCATTAATAATTTCAGAGTAATGAAATATGAAATCAAAGTGTGAAATTTATTAGTTATAATCATACAACAAAAGAATAATATAGACCATTTAAAGTTTACGGTAATTTAAAATAGGCGATATGGAGATTTCAAACGGAATTTGAATAAGATAGTAATAGGTCTAATAACTTTTCAAGAAGTATATGTTTTCCAGCCATTTGCTTGGGAATCGAGAGAATTTCTGCGTAGGAAACTTATTGGGCAAAATGTAGTTTTCCGGTGCGATTATATGGCTACATCAGGAAGAGAACATGGTCGGATATATTTTGGCGGAACAAGTAAATTTTTTTCAAGAATTTCGAAAATGGTTTTTTAAGTTCTGAATTTTAATAACAAGTGTATTTATAATGTTCTTCACTTAAATTAATTTTAATTTTTTACGATGAAATTTTAATTTTATATATATTTGCATAAGTTTTAAGCAGATGCAATGATTTCACAAGATATTTGTTTCAGATTTTTTTTTTCAGATCTTGAAAATTCGGAAAATGTGACAGAGGCATGCGTATCTGAGGGTTGGGTTGAAGTTAGAGTAGGACGTGTTGCTGAGTAAGTGGTTCCTAAAATTATCGATTATAAATAAAGTTCCTTTTCTGATTTTAAATTGGACGAAATGTAATATAATTTATGGATTTTTGTAAGTCTGAATTTACATTACGTATTTGTAGCGAATATAGCACTAAGCTATTGGAGTTACAAGAAGCTGCGAAAGCCGCGAAAAAAGGAAAGTGGGCGGTGGAGGAAGAAAGTGCGCAGCAACATGTAAGATTGAAAGCTCTTGTAATGCTCATGAATTTACTAGTCAGTGACATTAAGTACACTTCTTGTCATTGATAATTTCAGTGACAGTTTATTTTTCATGTTCACATATTTCACGATCCGCTCACCAAAAAATAAACCACTCAAATTTCATTTAACGCTATTGTTTAAGACTATTTTTTTATCTTAAATAAGCAGTAAGAGGGGCGAAAAAAAAAACATAAACCCAGAAATACGGGTGCTACGGGGCAAATACCGTAGCGCGAAACAGCAAATTCCAACAATGCAAAAACACTTGGTCTTGTTCCTAAGATCTTCGTGGTTTAATACTGAAAATATCGCGGGACAAGAGTTTGGTCCTTCCTTTCTAGGGTTTGTTCAAAATCCAAAAGTAGCATGTCAGTAGTTTTTTTGGCTTTCTAACTCTATTGTACAGTGTCTTTTTTTTCATTTTTTATCCAATATTTTGATGATCATAAAACAATTTTATCCCGTTGACAGGTGCGACATGTGAAATGGGTTATAGAAAATCCACGAGCTCTTGTTGATACATTCAAGCAGCAAAAGATCAAAGCAATCGTTGAGCAAGTACGAGATGGTTCAACCATCCGTGCTTTTCTGTTGCCTGACTTTTATTATATAACACTTATGCTCTCAGGTATTAAAGTAAGTTGATTTATTTAGTTTGCATCAGTGGTGCAACTTCAAATAATTAAGCCATAGTTCGGTAGTTGACCATAAATGAGTCTGTATTATATCAAGATTGAAGGATATCGTACTCATGAAAATTTTGCTGTTTTAGGCCAAGTGAGGTCATTGCTTTAATCTTCTACAGATTGCTGTGAAGAAATTCGGAATTTTAAGAGTTCAAATTTCATATTAAAAAAAATTTTTTAGGCACCAGCTATACGTGCCGGAGCGGATGGCCGAGCGGAAGACTATGCTGAAGAGGCACGTTATTTTGTTGAGTGTCGTTTACTACAAAGAGATGTTGAAATTATTCTGGAAAGTACTTCAAATCAGAATTTTGTTGGTTCCGTTATACATCCCAAAGGGAACATTGCTGAATTGTTACTCAAGGAAGGTTTTGCAAAATGTGTCGATTGGTCGATTGCTTTGGCCGCATCGGGACCAGAAGTACTACGTGCTGCAGAAAAGTTCGTTATATATTATCTCTTTCTCAAATTAGTTATTAGTAATCCAATTTCTTCTCTTGCTGCGCTAACTTTGGATGATGCTTAAGTGGCAAAGAAATCCTGTCTTTTATTAGTCGTTCCATAACTTGTGCTTTTTTTTAGAGTATCTTGAATCTACCCGTTAGTGATAAGTTTTACTGTTATCACTTTTCTCTATCATATTTAATATTTTTTACCACTTTATTTAATATGAATCTATATTTTCTATGTTTGCCAACGTTGTTTCAGAATAGCAAAAGACAAAAGACTTCGTTTTTGGCGTGCTTATCAACCATCTAATCAGTTAAGCGTTGACAAGAAATCGTTCACCGCAAAAGTGGTTGAAATTGTAATGGGTGACGCACTTATAGTACAAAAAGAAAATGGTAATGAAATCAAAATTTGGCTGTCGTCCGTAAGACCTCCAAGGTTATAAGCACTTTTCGCTTAAGTGGTATCTTCAATTTTTAAAGAATTATCTGGAGAATTGATTTGAAATATGAGAGATATTGTTATAATCTTACCATCTAAGGCTCGCAAATCTCTCGCTTGCGTTATTTACTAATATGGTGTTGTCCAAAAACGTTGCAAGAAATTCTACCGCAATACTATGACTTTTTTAGAATATTTTTTTCCAGGGAGGAAAATCGAGATGCG